CGGATTTCTTCTTAACTTGGGAGACCCTATTTGTTGGATAAACCCCCGCCGTTCATCGTAGTCCGACACGCAGAAATACTTCCTAGTCACAACGAGGCGGTGAACCGTCTAGAGAATAACATAACTACAGATTACTATTTAAAATGTGGTATTAAACTGTTGGCGTTAATCAATCCCTGAGGGATGTGCCATGCATTTGACTTCATTAAGCATCGTTAGAGATGGTTGAATGCATATATCTAACCTGTACGATGGCTCGCGGTGGGCTACTGGTGTGTAGATATCATTATTTATTATTGTTATCGAGATTGTTATTATATTGTTACGAATATGTGGATTATTATTAAGAACAGGAAATCCGCTTATGAAAGCCTTCCAATTTGCGTCCATTCGTACATGTCCTAAATGTGATAGCATTCGAAATTTGTTTGAGGGTTGGTTACAGGCAAAGTTGGTGTGGCTGTGACATTGCTATTCTTGAATCAAATACATCTACATGACAAATCTGGTGAGTTTTGTAGTTTGCCACCGTGACTCCAGGAGCTATTCGTCAAGTGGTACTTTCTCTTCTTTCTTTCTTTCTTGAAGAAATGAGCTTTGGCATTAATTAAGTGCACCATAATGCAATATGTTTTCATGACTGGTGAGACACGGTCCTATTGAACTGTCCAATATCCACTGCATGTGGTTTCAACCAATTCAAGAAGATATGCATTGTTTGCAATACGTCGTTGGCCTAAATGATTTAAGTGCTCGGCCTTTACACAAACATATTTCCGGTCTTGTTGAGGCTTATTACTTGAGAAAGAAATGAGCACGTTTCCTTATCATTTTTATTTATTTATTTTACATGACCCGTTCTCACATCTGCTGTGCAGATCCCAGTATTTTTTGCATTCGATTCGTTGCTTGGCATTCGTCTGTCTTCGACGAAGCTCGTCGAGCTTCAGGTGTGTAGGTCGACTGCTGCTTGAGAGTTGTCGTCCTCCTTATGAGTGATTAAATACTGGTTCAGTCCACTCTTCCTGATATCCCAGACAAGTACCAATTTCCCGATTAGGGAGAGATGAGCGTGATTTAGGTCGAAGCGGGGCCGGAGCCGAACCAGTACCATACGCACGCTGAATGGCATCACTACCGCTGTCCTACCCTCCTCGTCTTATAGATTTTCTGTCTTACCACCTAGAAATTCTAGTGTTTCTGGAGCTTGTGGACGTCTTTTCGGTTTTTGTTGCCAGTGTACATCTGGACCGGCGAATCGACTGAGCATGATATAGTTGTAGGACGCGATGTTATTCTCAAATGTATTGTTGTTGCTTTCTACTGTAACACCTGCACTGAGAACTTAAAACCTTTCCTCGTATCTTGAATTATGAAAATAACTCAGAACTTTCTAGCAATACTACTTCGTCAATAAACTACAGTATTTGAGAACCTGAAAAGTTGACACGCCTATAGAAAAGAATTTGACTTGTCGGCCGCTCATGTACACCTTCCCTTTTATTTTTATTTCGATTTTCCAAATTGAGTTCTAGAATTGTTAGTGTAACGAAGAATTGGACTGGCGGCTTCCTTTATACCAGATAGGACAGTGAACCATAGTTTGAAATGTATGTACGTCTGCGATTTTCTATGCAGTCATTGTTCAGAATATTTAGCTTGACATGTTCTGTTGTTCTGGTTACAATTATGTTAATGTAGGCTTTCTTAACTGGTTGGTACTGTTATTGTATCTCGCTCTTGCCTGGGGTTTTTTAACAACTCGTCAGTTATTGATCTTAGCTTTGATCTACGTGTTACTGTTTGGCTGTATCGTAACTCATATTTTCCCCCATTGTTTTGTACCGCCGTACAAAGCTCTTCTTTTGAAACATTCTGGCGTCTTCTCGGGGATTACTCACCTTTCTGGGGTCTTCTCGAATGTAAAACCTTCAAAGTGTAAACTGTTCAGTAAATGTTATTTTTTTTCAAATATCATATTACTGGACCAAAAAATGTCACAGTCACACTGACCATTCGCTTGAGAGAGTCATCATTTATGGTTGAGATGGTGAAAACGTAGAGTTAACTAGTTAGTACCGAATGATTCTCGTTTTTTTTTTGCACGACACTTTTCTCAGTTCGGAGTCTTCAAACAGTTGTTCACAGAAATTTGACGTAACAACTGAAGAAGTTAGTGTAACCAGTTTACACTTTCTAACCGCTCGGTCTTAAGATCAGCTTATTCCCTTTTTTCTTGAGATCGTCAAATGCAGTTCTTTTGTTTATCAGGGAGGGAACTCGGTTCAGTTGGAATAAATCACCTTCTGTTACTTCTTTGCTGACCCGAATAATGATAAGGTGATTTTCCTAAAAAGAAGATTAGGTAGACTAAGTAGTACTTTGGAAAAATTGATATATACATGGTTATACGTGCACATATATACATATGTATGTACGTATACATATACACAGGTATATATATATATATATATATTATATATATATATATATATTATATATATATATATATATATACAAGCTCTGGGTGTTGATAACTCCCTGAGGGATTCGGCATGCATTCAACTTTATTAAGCATCGTTTGAAGGTGATTGAATGCATATTTGGCCTTTACAATGAGTCGCGGTGGCATCCCGATGTACCAGGATGGTACTGCTGTCCTCCCAGCTGGTACCAATTTGCCGACCCCGGAGGGATGGCGCCACGCGCCTTATACATATGTGTACATATATAATGTATGTATATATATATATATATATATATATAATGTACATATATATATCGAGAAATTGTACTCTAACGTTCTTCATAACTAAGAATTTTTGTAACTAATAGTAAGATCGACAGTGGTGTCATTTATGTCGTGTTTTGGTGGACTTGTTGGGATTAATTATGATTGAAGGGTGTGTGTAGCGTAGTGGTCAGAGGCGCCCTGCGGTACACAGGGGATCGATCCATACGCCCCAGGCTCACTAGGCCTTCCATCCCTTCGGGGTCGGTAAATTGGTACCAGACATGTCTAGGAGGATGACATCACTGACTTTATGCGTCGGTTGGCCAACACTAGTTGCTGTAGAGGCAAGTTGTGACACAACATTCAATCGCCTTTAACGATTTTTAATGAAGTCGGTTGCATAGCGCATTCCTAAGAGATTGATCAACGCCTAGAGCTTTTGGTTCGCTATGAATCGACCAATTCCTGGAATGGTTAGTTTTTCTGCTACTGTCATTGTTGGGAGAATCAAGTCCTTGATTGTCCGCAGTTAACCACCGGCCGGGTTCGCTCTGCTGCTCTCTCATAGATGCGAGTGCGGCGCCATCGATCGCACTCGCAAATGATTGCCGCCTGTTGCTGTCTCGATCGATATTCGCGAATAAGCTCCGTAAAATTTGCTACGTTTGTGCTTTCGGTAACTTCCGATTTGGTTTGGCAGTTTTTTGGTCATCGAGCTCTCCAGTGGTTCCATACGATAAGTGGTTTAAGATGACGAAGTAAGCGTACACTATTTCTTTGAAGGAATATTTTGAAACTGAATCGAATTTCTTTGTGAGTGTTCTAGATTCTTATATTTCATCGTTTGATGTTTAACAGTCAGTTGTGCTAACCCTGAGGTCAATTATATAAAGGATAAAAAAGGATAAAGCTCTCAGCGTTGGTCTATCCCTGAAGGATGCATGCATATGTGTCCTTTATAATAACTCGCGATGGCCTAGCGATGTATAAAGCCGATACTTCTATCCTCTCAGACAAGTCTAGTATCAATTTGCCGACGTTGGAGGGTTAGTGGGATTGGTGTGCCAGGAGCGCGAGGGATCGATCCCATGTGTATTGCAAGAGCCCTCAGACCACTGTGTCACACACGTCTTTATCAATTATGTAACAGCTGTTATTTTGTGATCAATATTGTGTTCACTGTGTTGGCGGGTGTTTAAATAATTATCTAGGTTATAAAATGAATTAATTAATTGTTTAATACAAGCAGATTAAAAAATTGTTATGCTATTTTTTAGCGTTCGATTGTCTTCGTGTATCGATGTCCAACTTTTATCGGACTATGTTATGTTTATTATGTTCCATGTCGCATACTTCAAATCTTTTGTTCTTTCCATCGGTACCTTGCTGTGGCACTTTGCAACCATCCAACCAACCTGACCTTTGCAATCTCCTGGTCCTTGGTTTCATCCATAGGAAATAGTGACCTTGTCGTTTAACATAGTCATCCCTTTTGCGACGTATTGCAAGATTTTATGAGTGTTGGGTTATCGATTGATTCGTGACTTTCCATATTCTTTGCGAAACTTTCACTCTAATCTTAAAAACGGTGGTCTGCTCTTTAGGGAGTTTTAAGCTTAAGCATATCAACGTACGAGATTAGTTTTAGGTTACAGAGAACTGTACGTTGTACGGAATAAGTTTGGAAATCACTTGCAAACCCTCATTTCACTGTTTTGACGTATAGTTAACGGAATTCGGTGCAAGTGCCTTCTGAGTCGATCATGGCTAGGGTCTTCCCGTCCTGTTAACACTTGAGATGCGAACGTTTCACACAGTTGTTTCAATGCAGTTTTACGGGTTGTTTTGATAAGAAGACGATGTATTGACCAAGGTAGTTCACCGTATTACTGCTTTCTTTGGGAAAATATAAATGTGTTACCCATTAGTATGGAACGAGCTGTTGTAGCGGGAAATTTGATCAGTAGCGGTGATGGATGGACAAGTTGATGACCAAACCTTGAATTATAAGCCTATTTTTGCGCAGTTTTAGGGCTTCATAACTAAATCTTAAATATAAAAATACAAATCTGTTACCCATTAGTATGGAACGATCTGTTGTAACGGGAAATTGTGTAAATGTGATGGAGAGGACGATAAGCAAGTCATGAATTATAAACCTATGTTTGTTTAGTTTTAGGGCTTCGTAGCTACATCTCAAACTTGATTTTCTCAATCTAGGACCATATTTACTCGCCAGGGTGGTCGTGATTGTCACTAAGCTGTTATGGAGATCTTGTCACAAATTCGGCTGTCGCATGCGGACCATTTGCGACGGCTCGCGCTTAAAAAGAAATCGGATAATCTCTGCCGTTTAGCAGCTATACTGGATAGAGCTGAACCAATATTGGAACGACTTGAGCAGGTTTGTTGGCTTTGACTTGAACAGAAGTTCCAGTTTTTTCTCGTGTTGCTACTACAAATTATATTTGGGTGACTCCATTCCTTCTTTTGTTTTCAGTGGTTTTTATCAAACCTGCATAACTATACACCACAAGAACAACTTGTCGGTCACGAATCTATGATTGACACGCAACAAGTGGAAGAATACGTTATTGCGAATGACGATCAAGGTGAAGCCATCGAACTTCGTTCTGGTTGTGAAATCGTTTATGGAAATGCCAATGAGTATGGTGAATGAATATTTCTGATAATCGTGGTTTTCGATGTGTAAGTCAGTTCAGATCTAGGTGAAATGAAGGAGTATCCTTCCTTCATCCCATATTTCTTGCCTCTTTTCTTCATACGTTTTGTTTAAGCTGCTTTTCTGTTTTATGAAGCGTTCGTTGTTTTTCGTTGCTCTTTGGTTGGTCTTTCATTAAGTTTTTAAATAAATTCTTAACTCTATTAGGTCATTCGGAAACTATGTCGATTTTACCTTCTGAACTTCGACGCTCCATTTTGAAATGAACTTTTTGCCCTGTGTTCATGTTGTGCATTGTTTCAAAGCGTTTTTTTCGCTTTTCATTCCTCTCCTTAATGTTTTTCGTAAACAACCGCATTTTTCATGCTATTTTTTAAAAGCGTGAACTATTAGAACACAATTAAACAGCAGCAAATTTAGTGCTCTGAAAAACCTTGGAATGAAAGGATAGAATAGATAAAAGTGTACACGCTTCTGAACATGTGTATATTCTAATGGTTTCGGTTATTATAAGGTTTGATGCAAGCTTGGTTTTCGTATTTGGAACTTATGGATTAAGATCGGACTTAGGTTCATAGACAGCTGTGATAAGGTTTTTTTTTTGTGAAATGTAGTGATGTTATTATTACTTGTTTTCATTGAAATTGTGTAAATAATGTTGGATTAACTAAGTTTAGATAGTTTTTATTCTCTTGATTTGCTGTTTACGCAAATATGTCCTGGCCTTAGTTTTGTATATCACCAATTCCAGGGAGCCATAGTACTTTCATAGGTATTTCGTGAAGGAGAAAATGACGACGCCTAGCAGAAGACGACTTATGCGTGATTTCAAGAAACTTCAAGTTTGTTTTCCAGATCATGGATGTTTTATTTCGTAAGGTTCTCTTCTTTTTTTCACTCGACTTCGCAACGTAAGTTGCAGTGGAGGTGGCTGGAATTGTTAGCGTGTAGTGCACTGGTCAGAGGCGCCATGCAGTACACATGAGGTCAACCTACACTCAATAGGCTCACCAAGCTCTCCTTCCTTCCGGGGTCGGCGTATTGATACAAGACTTCTTTGAGAGGTTGGCAGCATTGGCTCGAAACATCGGTAGGCCACCGCGACTCAATGTAACGACTAGGTGTGTATTCATTCACTTCACTCCAACGGTGTTTAACGAAGTCCAGTGCATGGCGCATCCCTCCGTGATTGATCAACACCAAGAGGTTTAGAGCTTTCATGTTAAGGATACGCATTCAGCATTCTGAACTGTACTTCTCGTCTTGTGAATATTAATACAAAACACCGCGTTATTTCTTTTTTTAGGAAGATCCGCCCGCCGGCGTTTCTGGTGCTCCAACTGAAGACAACATTCTCGCGTGGGAGGCGATTATTTTTGGACCACAAGACACTCCATTTGAAGATGGCACCTTTAAGGTGCTATTATGTTTTCTACTTTTATTCGGTCCCTGTTTAATCTTTTTTTTTCTAAATGACATTTATTATACTGTTGGATTACTATACTTATTTATCTTACTGTTAACCCATGCATTATATTTTTATTCGATAAGTCTTCTAACCTTTCTTCAAATGAAATTAATTATGGTCTTAAGCTATCGCTGGAGTTTACGGAAGAGTACCCAAACAAACCACCTACCGTCAAATTCATCTCGAAGATGTTCCACCCAAACGTTTATGCTGATGGATCTATTTGTCTGGACATTTTGCAGGTTAGCACAATATCTGCAAGCTCATTGAAAATTAGTTGATCTAAAGAAATGTTGAGCATTAATTGGCGTTGTCATCGTCATACTTACTGTCTGTTGTTCAGAATCGTTGGTCGCCAACCTATGACGTGGCAGCGATTTTGACATCCATCCAATCGTTGCTTGATGAACCGAATCCGAATTCTCCTGCAAATTCTCATGCAGCTCAACTCTACCAAGAGAACCGCCGCGAATACGAGAAGCGTGTTCAGCAGATTGTAGAACAGGTACCAATTCCCATATATAAGGCAAGCACTAGGTTGATGATTCTCAATATTCTTGTTGAGCATACATGTGGTGTTACTTTACTCTTTATTCCGTTAAAGCTGACGTTTCGGCTGTAGCGCCCTCAGGGTCTGGAACGGTGTATTGATATATATATGCAGCCCACTACCCCAAAAACTTCAATAACACAAACATTAAGATGGAAAGATGAACAGTAATAACGCGATCAACCAGTTCTCGAAAAACCCACCGTTTTTTTTTAAATGCCTTCCGCTGAGGAAGGACAACTGATCAAAGTCTTACATGCTTGGCTTGGTGAGTGCACCACCCCAATAGGTCGATGTTTTGAAGAACTACACTTTCTGCTTCGTTTTCGACTGAATTTGCACTTGAAATTTAGAACAGTTTTGCTATATAGATAATTGCAAATTCGTCGTTTGTTACGGCTGTATGTGTTCATCCCATTTTTTGCTAATTAAGATTCATTTGACGCTATCTATTGAACTTGTAGTCCATTGGTGCCAAGGCGTCATACCTAAAGAGTCTTCCTTCGGCAGTTTATTTGGCCACCTATCTTGCCATTCTTTTTGTAGTCATTGGACAACTTATCATAACAAAGATTATGAGAACGTCAACTGGTAATTTCCTCTTATTTCAATTCCAATCACTGTGAAAAATCATAGTTTTTTATGGAATGGGTAATATAGAAACTACGGAATTGAACTAAACATAAGCTGCGAAACACTTCCAGAAGTGTGGGGAAATGTGTTTTCATCATAGACCATAGGAACATGAAGTAAACAGTAGAATGCATACCCTTCATACTCATATACCAACAGTTCTGTTGCCCAAAACTGTTATCTGGTCTTCTGTTATCCTATCATGTGCTGAATTACTCAAAGTCTTCTGGTTTTCAAAGTATTATCATCTCTTTTCGAGAAAAACCAAGTCTTCGAAGAAATGAAGTTAGACTCCGTCCCATTTGCGCTAGATACATAATTAAGTGTCGGCACCAATGGATTGAGAAACGGTGTGTAAGAAAAGGGATATCTGGGTTTACTTCTCCCATTGAATTTTTAAAAAATGACATCAGAAGTAGAGGGTCTGTCTGTCGTTCCACGCTTTTGTATAGTTTTCGTTATTTCTCTTTTTCACAAAAACCAGTTTGTTGTCCTTAAAGCAGAAAAATAATTCCAAAAAGAAGTATTTTTGAACAAACTGGACTGTTACCTTCATTTTTTTTTTGTTGTATGATGAGGATCAGCAATAATTTTTAAGAAGATGTGATCAGAATAACATTTGTATATTTCTGTCGTTGCCTGTAAGCTGATATCTTGTGCTAAATTTATTTGTTCACAGTCCTGGTTGAACTTCGGCGAGAACGAAGGAGACATGGAAGTGAAGGATGGAAGCGAAGATACGGGAAACAACGATGAAATGCCGTCAGCTAGTGGATCTAACTAAATCGGCTACTGCCAGTCTTCAAAAAAATTTATTTTTCTTTCATTTGTCAAACTATTCCTCTTCTCCAGTGCACTCTCCCCCTTATAAGTTCTCATCGGTCTACCTTTTTGAATGTTGCTAAGTTACGGTTCATAGGGTGTCTTGCTCACCCATCCGCTTGTCCAGCAAACAGGCCACCTCTTCTCTTTTAGTCAACACTGCATGTTTTATGTTGTATTCAGTAGTATTTCTTTTATGTATAGTCTTCTTACCTTGTTACTACAACAGCGCACCAACCATTGCTGATTCTCCTTCTGCATTAACGACCATAGTAATGTGAAATCATTCTTTTGAAGCGTCATTAATGGAAATATTGTCTCTTACCTGCTAGGCATACTGCGATCATCTCCATTTACTTTTCTGTAACTTCCCTTTATAAGTTTCTACCAAAATTTGTTCCGTAACTTTTCGATCAGAGAAGCATTCTATGACCTATAAATTGCGCATTGTGTTTGACTCTGGATGTGTCCTCGATTGCTACTGGTTGGCGCGGCTGTCGTTGTCAGTAGGTGGTAAAAGTCTACGTCCATACGAGCTCTACTGGACATTGTGGCCAATTTGCTACGACGCTGTGGGATCTGGTTGTTACATTTTTAGGTTCGTTCTTCTGCATTTGCCACGCCTTAAGTGAGATTCAGTAGTTTTGAACACAGTCGTATTTGTTTCTCACGCTTTATGCTGCGTGTAGTCATTTTCTTACAATTCTCTTACCAGTGTATATAGATCCGGTTCAGATGTAGATTACTTCTGTTTCAGCTGTGCGTTATCTCGTTAGTTCGCTTTCCCACTCTTCTACACCGTTTCGGATCTACGAGTTTATGGAAACCACTCATGTTATAACTGAGTTTACTTATTCATGAGATACATTTCATATTCCTTCATTCTCAATAATTTTAGTTGTTGGATATGTATTAATATTCGTAGGGCCAGAGAGTGTCATGCCTAACATTTATCTGCGTATTGATAGTTTGTTCGTTTTTTTTTTGGCTTACTAAGTACCAAATTTCTCACCCAGAGCCAGCTTATTTCATCTCCTCGTCAGATGTCACATAGTGTGTAATGAGACTATTGTGATGAATAAAGAGTTGGTTTAAGTTCGTCATTAGTATGACGGAAATGTGTTTACGTCTAGTATTTGGAGCATTAAACAAGTGAAGGACCAATTTGTTTTTGTTGTGGTCAATAATTACTACATTTGCTGGTATTGTCATTACCATTATCGGATTTTTTGTTATTATTATTATTATTATTGGACTGAGAGAAAGGTGGAACGAAGGACCCGCATGGTGTTGTGGTGAACAAGTTAGCTTCTGGAAAGGGAAATAGCGTGTTCGGTCCCTACCGCAAATACCAGCGGTCCGGTTTTTTTTTTTCGAGTATCTCAGTATCATTATGTTGATAAAAGGCGTTGATCAATCCCTGAGGGATGTGTCATGCGTTCGACTTCATTAAGCATCGTTTGAAGGTGATTAAATGGAAATCTGGCCTTTACAATGACTCGCGGTGGTCTACCGATGTGTCAAGCCAGTACTATTATCCGCCCAAACGTCTGGTGTCAATCTGCCGCTTGGTGGCCCATGGGCGCGGTTATCGACTCAGAGTGTGTGTTGCAGGGTGCCTCCGGCCACTGCGCCTCATACGCTTATTATGGTCTTATGATGTTTAATGTTTGTAAGAAACAGTAGAATTTTAACCACAACGATGCTGAACCAGTGATCCACAAGGACTGCGACTTAGCCAGGCTGACCTCGAGATTCCAGTTAACCACAATGGCATAACCAACAAATCTCCGAAAAGTGGAGATCATGCTGGGGTCCGCACAACCAGTGAGGATGGGCCATTCAGGTATCAAGTATCAAGCAAGTTTTCTGCCTGCCATCAGCAGTCACCTGTCTGGCACTGAAACCAATTAAGTTAATTAAACCCGGTTAAGTCGACTTATGCTCCCCAGGTCAATCCAGCTGACGGATCATTGCTGATGGCACTGATCGAAAAAACTAACTAGGAGAAACGCGAAGGGTCTCCATGGGGCAATGTGTAACGCACGAGTCTCCGGAAAGGGAAATCTTGGGTCAGTCTGACCTGGGACCCATGTTTTGCGAATATCTCGAATATCTCAGCATCGTTGTATTTGTGATTCACACCATACCGTGCTGTGGAAGATTCTAGTAGGCAGAAAATAAAAAAAAGAATGGTACAATTTTCGTTTATCTTGCTTTTGAAATTTTGAGCTCAATGTCCACTTATGCGTCTACATCTGTCATCATGATATTTTTGTTTCTTCAGAGAAGGAGAAATGGCGAACAATTTCCGTAAGAATCTCATATCGAAGTGTATTCGTGACAGTGGTACGGGAGAGTTCGATGCTGACTTACTGAATGAGGTTAGCAGTGGAAATTCCTCTTTAAGATTTCGTGACGTATTTTACGTTCATATATGGTCATAGCGTTTCTCGTTACGCTTTTACTAGCGATTATTGTTTTACAATTGCTCAGCTCTCATAGGCATTTCACTCTTTCATTGAACGGGTTAGAGCAAATTCCGTTATAAAGTACGCTGATGAAGGTGTGCTAATTGTTTTGCAGTACTGGCCGGTATGACATCCACGGTTTGGTTCCCGTTCCGGTAGTATTTGATGAAAAGTTCTACTGTAGGCTTAGAAATATACAAAAAACCGTTTTGCGAACATGTTCGCTTAAAATTTCGGTTCTAATCGGCTATTATTTCAATTCTAATTGGTATAGTAACTGGTAGTTATCTCATAAAGTGTAAGGGTTTAAAAGGTACTGAAATACTTACCTACTTTGATTATTGGATGACCCATCTTCACTGGTTGTGCTGGTTTAGCTGTTGTGTTTTATGGAGTCCCGAGGTCAGTCTGGCCAAAGGCTGCCCCAGGTCTTCACAACCACATGCACTCTTCGGCTTTTGTGGGTCAGAGGGAGATTTGCCACCATGCGACTAGTTTTGTACCAGACGGTAATGGATGAAGTCTTGGTTTTGCCTTAGCTGAGCTTCGTGATATAAACGACTTCGCTTGGAGAGGGGGCGAATCCCTACGCTGTACATCACAGCCTGGCACTCAAGAACACCTCCCTGCCCACGATTAGCCGGTAAACCGTTAGGAGGGTACCGTTGGGTTCCAGTACAATTCGGATATTGAAGTTAAGACCCATAATTTGCAAAATAGTTCCAAATTCTGTGTGTTTATAAGTTGGACCATAGTAACGTGTAGTAAATAGCATCACGCATGTCATTCATAACCGTAGAATGATGGAGCAAAGTCCTTTCTACTGTCCATTTATGTTCACAACCCACGAAGTTCTCTAGTTATCGAAAAATTATTGCTTATTTTTAAAAAAGCAGCAAAACCACAAAAGCTGAAAATTAGGCATCGTTACGAGAGTGTTAACAGAGTTCTGACATCAAATTTTAAACAGTGACCACTCGGATTTGTGCTCATTTATTTGCAATACACATTGAGGTGGATGCATACAGCCCACTCGCCCTTGTACTGAAAAGAATCAGCCACTGTTTTGTGTTTTTTTGCGTTGCGATTGTATTGTCAAGTGTGTTTGTGCTTATGGCTTTCTACGTTCTAGGTAATCATTGTGTG